TGAAAGGGTCGTTCGACCGCCAAAGGGGTCGCGACCCACAGGTTGAGAACCGCTGAAATATAGGAAAGCTGTCATCAAACATAGCTAAGTTGGGGGACTTGGGTGGCCTTCTTCCCTCGGTTATCAGAAAGATTTCTTCTCTCCAGAAAATGTCTGGGGTGTCCGGTATATCAGCCCAGTGGCAGTCCCTGTCCTCGGGGTGAGCCCTGCCGTGTAATAAGAACAAAAAATGGCAATACTGCGCTAATGATGCTGACGATTCGTACTGTAGGAGCCCCAAGGAGGGCGGGCGTCCCCACTAGGACTGGGGACCAGAAAGACATTCTCTGGAAGAGGCAGGATCAGGGTGGACCCTGCGATTCTCTATTCCCTCCGTCTGTGAGTCTCTATTCCCACTTCTGTTTTCTCAGCGCCAAGGCCTGGGTGGGTGCTCGTGACTCTGTGCCTTTGTTGGGATGTTTGTCTTTCTTGTGAGAGTTTCCTGCCTCCACATTTAGTTTTTAAGCAGCTTCACAGGGGAGACTATCTGTCTCCATCCCCGCTTTGTCCCCCCTCTCCCGCCGCCCAGAGCCCAGCTCAGGGCCTGGCACATAGTAGGTGCTCAATAAATGAATCTATGGAGCGGCAGGTATCATAATTCTCTCTCAGTTAACACATTGTTTTCTTCCACCCACTGCTCCTTGTTGCTCCCTCGTGGGCAGCCCTGTTGAAATGCCACTTCCCTGAGGACAGCTATTCGGGGGTCTGGGCAGAGTCCACAGACAGCAGTGGCTTGTTCTGCTCCGGAGGCAGGGCAGCAGCCATTGCCTTCACTAACGACTCCGCACTGACAGTCACGTGTGTCCAGTGCGTCTCCCTGTCTCCCCGCAACGGGACCTTGCTTTCCAGGGACGGACATCAAGACCTAGAGAGTCAAGTCTAGGGCGGCACAGCTGGAACCCCTCAGGAGCCAGGACCCCAGGCCCCGCCCTGGTGGCCCCAGCTGTCCTCTTCCCACCGCTGGGACATTTATCCAGGACCCGGCAGGGTGGGGAGGGGGACACATCAAAGACACAGAAGAGAAGCAACTTCAAAGGCCTCCCTTCCTGGGTGCCCTCTGGGGGTTTTCTCAGGAAAAGGCGGCAGCTGACATTAATGGGGACACGGTGTCTGAACGCGGTCCCTCAAGAAACGAACAAAAGGAAGGGGAGAGGCGCTGGCTGAAGGCAGAGGCCTTTCAAGTCCTGGCGAGGCAAGTTCAAGAGCTAAGCGTGGCGTGCGGGAGTGATGGATGGGCGTTCTACTCCTCTTTACAGACCTCAGGGGTTTTGCCATGTGAATGAAACGAGAAGTTGGCAAGGCTGCCAAGCTCAGGGCTAAGGTTTTGCAGTGGTATATGTCTAATACAATAAAAGGTTAAATGGCATCCAAGGTTAAATCATGGATACTAGCCGGGCTGGTGTTGATCTCAAGCGGATACTAAGTTACTGGCCAATGGAGGTGCTATGGTTTGAATGCTTATGTCCCTCTAACGTCATGTTAGGAACCTAACCCCCAATGTGGTGGCGGTAGGAGGTGGGGCCCCTGGGAGGTGAGTAGGCCATGAGGGTGGAACCCTTGTGATGGGATTAGACCCCACAGAGCTCCTTCTTCCTGCTGCCAAGTGAGGGAACAAGGGGACATCTATGGCCTGGGAGAGGACCCTCAATTAACATGCTGGTTCTCTGACTCAGGCTCCCAGCTTCCAGAACTGTGAGCAATAAATCTTTGGTGTTGATGAGCCACCCAGGCTATGGCACGTTGTTCTAGCATCCCAAATGAACAAAAACAGGAGAATTCAGTGCATTTCCACATAAAACGTTCCTAAGCACAGCTTTTAATGGCTGGATCGCATTTTCCCCTTCTTGGTGTGGTGGCTCTCACATGGATAGTTTTCCAATTAGCTCACAAACTGTCTCACAGCTACTTGTCGAGTGACTTTGCCCCCTCTTAATTCTCAGGTGCCTCCTTGATTGCATAGTCAGTGTTAGGCGCAGCAGATGAAGGGCAGGGTGCGGGGCCCCGCTTTCTGCAGGCGCAGGAGACCTGGCTACACTCAGACCGCAATCTGAATCTTGTTGGGCGTGGATAGAGAGAAAAACGGAAATTTCCCATTGGGGGCACCCTCCGCCAGGGGGACAGGGAGACTCCGAGAGAGACTTGATGTCTTACAAATGGAACCATAAAGTGTTGAGAGGCGATGATTTAAAATGATGGCTTTTCTGAGCCAGAGGAATATTAAAGACGCCCTGAGGACTCTAACCCATCCCTTGGAGTCGTTCATCACGCCTCAACCTAGTATAGGGTGTCCCAAAATTCACGCAAGATTTGCAATTGAATTGAATTGCAAATCTTGCGTGATATATTTCCTCCAGAGGAGAAGCTCTGTCCAGGGTCACCCTGTGGTCAGACCCAGGTGCCTCCGTTTACTCCGAAGGTGTTCTGGTTTGGGTGGCAAATTATTGGGTCCCCCTGGTTACAGGTGACAGCTTCATGGTGAGGAAGGATCAGGAATAAGCATGGCGGGGAATGTTGGGCATCCAAGTGACCTGTTCTCTTGCATTTTGATGTGCAGTTGCCTATGAGTACTTTTATAGAAAGACAAGCGCAGTTGGCTGGAACCTGACCAAAGCCCTAAGTTCTCATGGGTGTTTTCTGAAGTTGAGCGGAGGGGAGAACCTAGAGCAGTGATGGCGAACCTATGACACGCGTGTCAGAGGTGACACGCGAACTCATTTTTTTGGTTGATTTTTCTTGGTTAAATGGCATTTAAATATATAAAATAAATATCAAAAATATAAGTCTTTGTTTTACTATGGTTGCAAAGATCAAAAAATTTCTATATGTGACACGGCACCAGAGTTAAGTTAGGGTTTTTCAAAATGCTGACACGCCGAGCTCAAAAGGTTTGCCATCACTGCCGTAGAGTGAACCGGCACCTTTTTGTACTATGACGGAAGCTGAGTGATAAGCACAAGTTTGCTGAAATGAAAGCAAATGGCTAAATCACATCAAGCTAGTATTTAACAGGAAGGAAGCGAGGCTGGCAGAGCAAGGAGCTGAGCAGCCAATAAGGGGTGTGCGGTGGCAGAAGAGAGATGGCCATGAGCTGCTGACCTCACCCTCCCCGTTGGCACCTATGGAAGCATCCGTGGAAGCCCGGTTGTCATGGAAACACCATTGTCAAGGCTGCAACCTACACTGGTCTCTTCAGAGCTCTGTGCCCAGCATTGTTTCAATGTCTATGAAGTTCAAGAGCTTTGGTACAGTGATAAGACTTGCTCTGTAGGAAAAGGTGTCTCGGAGACAGCTGGGCACAGGGATAGAGTTACTAGGCCTGACTGAGGAGCAAGAAGTTAGTTGATTGGGTGGAGCTGGAGGAGATGAACACATTGATGAGAGGCAGGGGTGGTGCTGGGACTACATCTAACTTTGGTGCGAGCACCACGCTAGAAGTAGCACTCGTTGCCTCTAAAGCTACAGCTGCTCTGATGTTCACGGTCACACTGAGTCCCCTCTGGCCCAGGGAGCCCCGGGTCTGACACGAGTGGATTTATGATTATGGAGCCAGAACTGGCCAGATAGTCCCAGACCCCAAGTTAGAAGTCAAGAGCTCCACTGTCCCCAGGGGAACCAGGGGGGACAAAAAAGAAATACTAGGAATTGACTTGAAGTGTGAAGAACCAATGACACTCTGTGTAATTAAGAACTAGACTTGGGAGTGACAAATTTGAGACACGAGTCACAGCATCCTTTCTGTTGTCCGGTCATCCGGCTGTGAACTGGGAGAACATTGCCTATTGCCAAATAGTTTAAAAAGACATGTAAGTCTATTAGGAAAAGACAGTATATGTGTTTATACACACACACACACACACACACACACACACACACACACACGATATCTACAAGTATGTGAAGTCTAATGAAAGCCGATAGAAAAATCCAAACTTAAGACCAATGTGGAGATAGGCATCAACCAGATGTGTTCTCATTAAATTATTCCTTAAAATATGCAGCTTTCCCAGTGACTTCAATTGTTTCTTTGGAGTGCACCAACACCTTGACTGGAAGGCTAGATTGAACTTAAAAATAGTAACAACGAGAAAAGTACAAAGAAATATGTCCTCAAACCACACATTCTAGAATCAGTAAGAAAAAACACACGATTTAACGTAATTAGCCTCACATACGACTTTTTAAAACCAGCGCACAGGGCACGGAGTGGGCAAGGTACCAGGGTAAGATGGGTTCACCCATCGCCTGGCCCCGCATGATAGCAAAGCAGTGCGAGACTTCATGGCCTGGGAGCCCAGGTCCGGAGTGGAATCCAACAGAACTGAATGGATAGCTGGGCTGGAAAGGGCCTCGGGGTGGTTTTACTCCAAAAACGTATCCTCCAGAGGAACGCGCAAAGGACCCCGTTAGTCACCCACCTCCTGCTCCCCACAAAGTGACACCACTTAATATTATTTCTCTTGCCACCAAAAAACAAACCGCTACCACATCACATTCGGTTGGAGGCACTACTGAGCCATCTTGCTGCCTCTGTTTGAACTTCTGGTGTCTCGAGAGTGGAGAGAATGTGATAACAACATCTTAACACGTGGGAGCGAAAGCCAGAGACTCGGGGAGCAGAGGCTGAGACGTGCTAAGGAGTGGTGGCCTGTGGGATGACGCAGGGGAAATGAATCCCAAAGGACTTTGTCTCAGGGCCCAAGTGGAAGCCTCAAGTGGAAACTGTGGTGTGGATTAAACTATGTTCCAGGGGGAGGAGGGGAGGGCCTGGGAGGCCCACATCCCTGAGAGATGTTTGGGTTTGTGGCCGGGTCGGGATGTTGCCCATCTTGGAGAGGCCAAGAGGGAGGTCTCAGCCACCCTCTGTGGGTCTCCGAGGCTGGCTGCGGGATCTCCTGAGGACTGAGGAGGGCTTTGCCAAGAAGAGCTGTGTTTATAAATAATGCATTTCCTTTGTCTTGCAGGAATTCTGGAGGCAGAGGTGCAATCAGATCGGCTGTGAACAGCTTACATAGCAAATCTAATAGGTTTGTAAATTAGATTTTGTGTTCATTTGTTTTTGCTGTAAGGCAGCTATTAATCTGCTTCTCCTCTTGGCTGGATGGTGCCCTTCCTACTCGGGAAACAGATCTGTTTTCTTTCACTTTGGCTTTGCATTTTCCTAATCACTTTGTGCGGGGGTGGGGGGGGGATGTCCATAAAAATGGCCATGAAATGGCCCAAGGTCTAGAGGCTGCAGAGACGGGACGCTCAGATGCTAAGAGTCACTTTCTGGACAAGAGTCCACCCACTTGGAAGCACGTGGGCCACCAACGAGCTTATTCATAACTTGCATTTTTGCTGAGCAACGGAGGCTCTGAAGGGAATCAGGACGTTCACCCAATTTCATTGTCGATCTCGCGTCCAGGACGTTAAGATGGAAAGTAAAGCGTTCAGAAACTTTTGCTGAGGCCCCTTAAAAATATCAGGGAGTCAACTGAGTAATGCTAACCTTGATCATTGAATGCACATTCTACATTCTGAGCATGCTTCCTCCCATGACAGGCCTTGGCCAGGGGACAGCTTGGTGCAGGGCAGCGAGCAAATGCGTGGCAAGCCCAACAGACCCAGGCTTGCCTCTGGTTATGGTTGGGCCATGCCTCTGAGTCCCCATTCTCCATCAGTGACGGCTGCATCACAGCTCTGACCGGAGTCTCATAAGCCCAAGCTGACGGGGCAATGGGAGAAGAAAGGGAAGGCCAAGTTATCTGATATCCACGAAGGCCAGTGCTCAACAGGAAGGCCTTGTTTGACTTTCTGAATATGCTATTTTGGTCAGTCTGGGAAGGAGCGGTCCAGGTATTCCGAGTAAGGTCTGTCATTTGCCCTTCCGTAGTTTTTTCAGGTCTCTTGACCATATGACATCTATCGAGTATGTCTATTCCTGAGCCTAGAGGACTGACTCAGGCCACAGTCCTCTGTGTCCCTGACATCATTGCTTCTAGATCTCGTCCTGACCTCTGAACCACCTGGGAGCTACAGATGACGCTTATGCTGTGCCTGGTGAAATGTAGATAAACTATGTGTCTCTCTCCCACTGTGGAAAGATGCCCTCTTCTTCAAAAAGAAGGTCCTGCCCCTGGAGCAGGACCCCCGCCCCCATCATGCTCTGTGGTCACGTGGGGTGGGGGTAGGGGCTCTTGGGAGCCAGGCAGACCTAGATGCAGTCCCAGGCTTGTTAGCTGGGACCTTGGACATGTGATTTCACGCCTCTGAGCCTCAGTGTCCTCACTCAGTTAGAATAATAACACATCTTTTTCCAGGGGTGTTTCAAGAATGAGGACCTCTAAATAGAAGGTTCTATCCTGGCCTGTTGTGTTAAAGGGACTCAGTTGAGACTTATTCCTAACACTGTGGATGCACTCATGGCATCAGAAGACAGAGAAACATAAGCCTGACATGAGACTCCAGTGTCACTGGACTGGACGGGGTGCTGAGGACAGGAGGTCACAGTCACTGAAGAGGACTCTCCATTCATTCATCCAGCCGTGTCTGTGCGACACGGGGCATGGACAGCCAGTGAGCGGAGGCGGTCCCTGGAGTTATCTCATCCGTCCCTTGATTTTACAGATAAGAAGACAGAAGCCAGGGACTCAAAGTGACTTCCCCCAGTACCCCAGAGAGATAGCGACAGAGCCAGGGTTCAAGTTGAGTAAGACCATGGCTGGTTAGGCAGGACCCCATCCAAGTTTTCGCTAGGAAGTAGAGACAAATGGAATTTTACCGCTGCCCATGCCAACGTTTACCTCTTTCTTTTTCCTGCCTTCATCCCCTGGGTCCCTACCTTCATCACAGACAAGCCTGGAAGCCCTTTCCGCGGGTTTCCGAGCACGTCTCCTCCGCAAGCATCCTTGTCACAACACCCCTGCCAATCCTTCATGGCTGAGAGAGCCCGGGGCACCCAATATGCTCCTTTCTGGGGAGCATTACCCAAGATCGAATCTAAATTAAACCACAAGAGGCCCCGTCCCTGGTTACTGATGAGACAATCAGCAGGCCTCTTAGTGTTTCCATCACATACGCCTACTGATGTGAGCTGCGGCGAAGCTTGGGGGCGTGGGGTAGGGCAGCTAAATCAGTGGCCCTGGGGGGGTCACTGCTCCCACCTGTGGCCCACACAGAAGTGACAGCGCTAAAGAGACGCAGCCACAAGCAGCTCCCATTGGAGCCTCGTGAGACGGCAGCCGGTGATGGGTATGGGCCCTGGGTGGTCCTTACAGAATTCCAGAGCCTTAGCGCTGGCGTCTTTCTCTTCTACACCCTCTTCCTATAAATGGGAACTCTGAGGCTCAGAGAGGCAAGTGATTTTCCCACAGTCACACAGCCTGGGAGATCTTTCCACTGCACCCTCTGCTTCCTTTCACGAAAGTAGCAAACATGCCAAAGGGTTGAGTCTCCCGTTCCTCTCATAGGCTTCCCTGAAGCCTGGATGCTAGGCCTTGGTCACTAACTCTTGACTCTTTTATTCTCTGCTAACGTTACATATATTTGAACCCAAGACGAGCGATACCAATCAGGAATGCTGAGGAACGGAGCTATCTGGGGAGAAAGTGCACAGACAATATGCACCCCCCAATGAATGTCTTCTCTCCCTGCAAAAAGCAAAATCGAGCACTGGGTTTAGACCCCCTTTTTTAACTTGGCTGCTCCACGGTAAACACAAGCAACATCGGTGCTTGGTTTAGATTCTTTAAAGCTCCAGAATCGGGCCTCCCAAACCCAGTCATCATCGTCGCTGGGCGACTCTGCCGCCAGCACAGACAGCTTGGGAGGCAACCCACATGCATCTGCGTGCAGCCAGCAGAGGCGGGCCGGCTCCTGCCTGTGGATGTAATTGTAACCTAGTTTCTTAGAAACCCACTAGCATAGATTTCAAGCCTCTGAACTGAGGCGAGGCCTGTGATGCCTGAGGTTCCCGAATTGGGTGGAAAGATGGTGTGCGCCCAGAATGGTGATTTGCCCCCGTCGTACAGAGCCAGCCAGCCAGCTCCTTCATCCGTCCAGGCTCCCCCAGGACAAAAGGCAAATGTGAACCCAGCAAACACTTAGTTACTGAGCACCCGCATTGGGGAATAGAGAAATGAGGGAGGAGGGTTCCCCGGCTTACAGTCTAGTGCAGCGGTTCTCAACCTGTGGGTCGCGACCCCATTGGCGGTCGAACGACCCTTTCACAGGGGTCGTTGAAGACCATCCTGCATATCAGATATTTACATGACGATTCATAACAGTAGCAACAATACAATTATGAAGTAGCAACGAAAATAATTTTATGGTTGGGTCACAACATGAGGAACTGTATTTAAAGGGCCAGGAGGTTGAGAACCACTGGTCTAGTGGGAGAGAGAGACACAGCATCAAGAACTCTGAACAAGGCATCTCAGTGACAAAGGAGGGGGTGTTACAGATCTGTGGTTTTCTCCTCATTACGTTTGTAAACCATCAGGATACTTGGCTGCTAATGCAGCTGCTATTTGGAGTTTTGCTAAAGCAACTTGGAGAAGTATGATTCTGACCGTGACTGCTAGGTTTCACTGGGAAGAAACACGGGGGTGGGGGGAGAGAGAGAGTTTATCACCCCCTTTCCTGCCTCCAAGAATGTGTGTCGGATACACCGTAGGGAGAAAGTCTGCATTCTAGAAGATAAATAGGCTTTCTTCCCTTCTCAGGTAATAACTGCAATTTTGCTCTTCTGAAGAAGTTTACAGTCAAGCCCCAGCAAAAACAAAGCGATGGGACTTGTCGTTGGCATGCTAACAGATCATATTTATCCCTCCCTCCCTTCTCCCTTCCAGAGCTGGTGTAGTAATAAATGGCTCCTCACCACCAGCTGTTGTTGACAGAAGCAACGAGAGCATGAAACACAACATCCAGCCGGCCTCAGCGTGGAGGCACCACAACCAGACGCTGTCTCTGAGGATCAGGTAGTGGTAATTACCTCTCGGACGAGACCCGGGCTGGGCCTTCTTGGGCATAAGCCGGCAAATTGCCACTCTCCATCATCTAAAGAAGTGGTGGGGGGCCAGAGGTTGCTTCTCCAAAGGACCAGGGAAGGACTGCTTGCTTGGGGACTGCCTGGCATCAGCGCCTCCCACTTCGAGAGTCTTTGAAGAGCTCCCCCCCCCCACAAACACACACACACATACACATACACACAGTCCTATAGCTTGGGTAGGCTGCCTTCTCCAAAACATGAAAATGAAAAGCCATATCCGATCAGGTGGCCCAGGAGCTGGCATGACACCTGGTTGCAAAGGCAGAGCTCTGAGTTGCTGGGTGGCGGCAATGGGAACCTGTAACCTAGGAATTTCAGCTTCAGCACTTTGGCTACTTGCCTTTGATATCGCCGCCACTGACGCAGCAAAGATGGGTCAGTATAATCCAACCGTTCGTTTCCAGGCATCGTACCGGGGGTCCGAGTGCTGCCATGAATCAGGCATGTTAGTGGGGAGACAATCGAAGCAAAGACAGGACAGGACAGGACAGGACAGTGTGATACACACAGTAGGCAGTACTGCATCTTATAACGAGGTGGGAATAAAAAGATCATTTGAGGAGAGACTACTTCATTTCGTAAGAGAACCAAGAGGGCTGGCCAGAAAAGGAGCGATGGGTTTTGAAGGATGATTAGGAGTTTGCCAGGCATGCCAAGCTGCGTTCCACTCGTATGCAGTCTGAAGAGCAGCAGTGCCCAAACCTAGACGCAGGTTACAGTCACCTGGGGAGCTTTAGGAAGCGTGCTGAGACCTGGCCACGCTCGGAGTCGGGGTTTCTCAGGTGTCAGCGGAACCTCTGAGTTCTCTACAGTCCCCAGGTGATGGAACGGGCACCTGCCGGGATGCACCACAGGCTGCGAACATCCCCATCCCACAGGCTCAGGGGGCAGTCAGCCATCTGGGCGACGGGGCAACCGTTTTGCAAATCCTCTCATTTGCAAAGCGTGAGAAGATGCTGTCCTTCTGGGGCTCTGAGGAAAAGCAGACGTTCTAGCTGAAAGGGCGTCACTGCGTCTATTTCACTGCAGGAAAGGGAATTCGTTTCCGTGGATCTGGGTACCAAACTTCCTTCTCTCTAAGACTTGAGTCATCTCTAAGGATATCTGGGGTGAATTAGAACGTTCTTTAAGTAAAACCTCAGGTTCCTGGGGGCCAGGCCGGCAAGGTTTGAGTAAAACTCCCCGGTGATGTGTAGAGGACACCCATCCTTTCTGTGGCTACAGGCTATGCTAGATGATTCTAGAACTTTCCCCCTAAATCAAAGTCAGCCTAGAGAGCTATCCTTTGATCACCTTCGTTTTGAAACAACAGAGCAACTGTGCTCTGTGGGACCAGAGAGGCATCACTATTTACAAACCTCAGACTAGACAGGAGTTAGGAGGCCGGGAAATCATACTCCACAAAACAGACCAGCTCACAGACTCAGTCTCTCAAAGGGAGAGCAATGGACACACCTCACAGTAACCACGTTCGCATTCACCCCCTGGGAGGGCCCTGTGCCCGGAGACGTCTTCCATGGAGGCATGAAGGACGTGTGTCATTCTGGCCGCCTGTTCCCAGTTCAGGACTCGCTGTCAGATGGTATCTGGGGTGAATCAGAACGTTCTTTAAGTAAAACCTCAGGTTCCTGGGGGCCAGGCCGGCAAGGTTTGAGTAAAACTCCCCGGTGATGCGTAGAGGACACCCATCCTTTCTGTGGCTACAGGCTATGCTAGATAATTCTAGAACTTTCCCCCTAAATCAAAGTCAGCCTAGAGCCTAGAGAGCTATCCTTTGATCACCTTCGTTTTGAAACAACAGAGCAACTGTGCTCTGTGGGACCAGAGAGGCATCACTATTTACAAACCTCAGACTAGACAGGAGTTAGGAGGCCGGGAAATCATACTCCACAAAACAGACCAGCTCACAGACTCAGTCTCTCAAAGGGAGAGCAATGGACACACCTCACAGTAACCACGTTCGCATTCACCCCCTGGGAGGGCCCTGTGCCCGGAGACGTCTTCCCTGGAGGCATGAGGGACGTGTGTTATCCTGGCTGCCTGTTCCCAGTTCAGGACTCGATGTCAAATGATGGCCCTGAGTCCTGCAAAGGAGGCGAGTAGCTGACCACTGTCTTTCCTGGGGGCCAGGCCGGCAAGGTTTGAGTAAAACTCCCCGGTGATGTGTAGAGGACACCCATCCTTTCTGTGGCTACAGGCTATGCTAGATGATTCTAGAACTTTCCCCCTAAATCAAAGTCAGCCTAGAGAGCTATCCTTTGATCACCTTCGTTTTGAAACAACACAGAGCAACGGCGCTCTGAGAGACGAGAGAGGCATCACTAGTTACAAACCTCAGACCAGACAGCAGTTAGGAGGCCGGGAAATCATACTCCACTAAACAGACCAGCTCACGGACTCAGTCTCTCAAAGGGAGAGCGATGGAGACCCCTCACAGTAACCACGTTCGCATTCACCCCCTGGGAGGGCCCTGTGCCCGGAGACGTCTTCCCTGGAGGCATGAGGGACGTGTGTTATCCTGGCTGCCTGTTCCCAGTTCAGGACTCGATGTCAAATGATGGCCCTGAGTCCTGCAAAGGAGGCGAGTAGCTGACCACTGTCTGGGCTTTCCTGAGCTGAGGGGTCTCCTGGGGAGAGCGGAAAGCTGGCAGCCCTGGGAAAACCGGAATGTGGGGCACCCTCCCTTCCAGGGCCCTCTGTGATGAGCTCGCTTGTGTCCTAATGGAGTCATTTCCCCGGGGCAGTTTGCACACCTCGCAGGAAGTAGGCATAACCATAGCAACCGGGTTGGCCACCGTCATAATCGCCTCTGGGCCATTTCTGACAGTCCCTGCCCGGAACCTCTGAGGACATCTGAACTTGGTGCTCCCTGGGTGCTGGGCGCCATCAGCCCCACAAAGCGGTGCCGGGAGAAGAAGCTGGGTTGGCAAAGGGCAGCTGGCACCGGGGAGATTGAGCCTCATGTTTGGTTTTTGCAGGAAACAAATCTTAAAGTTCTTGGATGCTGAGAAGGACATTTCCGTCCTCAAGGGGACCCTGAAGCCCGGAGACATTATTCATTACATCTTCGACCGAGACAGCACGATGAACGTGTCCCAGAACCTGTACGAGCTCCTGCCCAGGACCTCGCCGCTGAAGAACAAGCACTTCCGGACCTGTGCCATCGTGGGCAACTCGGGGGTCCTGCTGAACAGCGGCTGCGGGCCGGAGATCGACACGCACAGCTTCGTCATAAGGTAACCGCAGCGGGGAGCTGGGTCCAGGGCAGCAGGGGCGCTGGGTCAGCATTTGTTAACCATAAATAGTGGATTCAAAGTCCTTTTCTTTCTGTAAAGTAGTTTGAACTAAAAGAGTTGGGCCGTATTTGTGATATGGGTGCATGGATGCATTTGTAGGAAGAAGGACGGAAGTCTAGTGACCCGATGCTAGTTAGGGGTCCTGTCCATGTATGAAATAATGATTCTTTGTCGGTGTTGTTGTTGAGCACGTATGACTTTTATAGTTAGGTAGATAAAAGTTATTTTTTAAACATTTTTCTCTTGTCACTTAGAAAGCTCTTCCTCTGTCCCTTGTGCGCCTCCTTTCTGTGCCAGCAAAGCGCCCCACGTATGACTCTAGTGCAGTGGTTCTCAACCTTCCTCATGCCGCGACCCTTTAATACAGTTCCTCATGTTGTGGTGACCCCCAACCATAAACTTATTTTTGTTGCTACTTCATAACTGTAATTTTGCTACTGTTATGAATCGTAATGTAAATATCTGATATGCAGGATGTATTTTCATTGTTACAAATTGAACATAATTAAAGCATAGTGATTAATCACAAAAACAATATGTAATTATATATGTGTTTTCCGATGGTCTTAGGCAACCCCTGTGAAAGGGTCGTTCGACCCCCAAAGGGGTCGCGACCCACAGGTTGAGAACCGCTGCTCTAGTCACACCACATCATTTGCCTTCCCCTAAATACTCACTCTGTTCCCCACCTCTGTGCCTTTGCACACATTTCTTGCACCTAAAATGCCACGGTATGATGTTTCCTAAACTGCCTGGTTATAGGACTTACCTAAAGAGCTTGCAAAAAGAAACATCAATTTCTAGGCTCACCTGTTGAATCTGGATCTCCAGGGGACGGGCCTGGGGAATCTGCAGGTGCCTGCGGTGTTTCTCCTGATCTGTCCTATGCGCCTTTTCCACTATTGGGCTTCTACTCATCCATCCTTCTAGACTTCCCTCAGTGGTCACCACCTCCGGGAAGACCGCCTGATGCTCCTCCTTCCCATAATACTGACGACAGTAGCGACATGTACTGAGCCCTTCCTGTGGCCCAGCAGTGTTCTAAGGACTGGGGGTGTGGTGACTCCTCTAAGTCCTGGGAGGGGTGCAGCTCCGATCTCACCATCGCTAAAGAAACTGTGGTGGATGCTCCGCAGCCAAGAGAAAGCTCTCGGGAAGCACAGAGAGGCTGAGCAGGTTGCCCGGAATCACACAGACAGCACGTCTCAGAGCTGAATTCTGAACCTAGGAGTGTCCCTGCAGAGCCCTCCCTCTGTCACCTAATGTGACCAGGTCACACCTGCCAATGTCATGGTCACCTTGTGGGCTGGGGGCTGGCTTACTTGCTTCCTTCCTCCTCTGCTGGGTACTGAATTCCAGAAGGCAAGCATCTAACAGCCCCAGGATGCAGCAAACTTTATTTATGCGCTGTGGTCCAGGGCAGCAGGGATGCTGGGTCCAGGGCCGCAGGCGAACTTGAGTGTTGCCAGGTGTCCCAAGAGGTTGAGCCAGGACACACTGGTTGGGTTAGTCGCAACCTCGTGGGTGGTGTAACAATTGTACAGTGTGAACAGAATGAAATAAATCCATGAAAAATGGGGGGGAGGGGGAAACACCTTGATGTCTCTGGTCCCAATGTCCAGACTGCACCCCAGACCAGTTATCAATCTGGGGGTGGGGGGTACGTGGCCCAAGGAGCCAGGTAATTCTGTTGTACAGTTAAGGATGGGAATTGCTGGTCTAGTGCAGAGGTAGGCAATCTACGGCCCACACTCTATTTTTATCAATAAAGTTTAATTGGCACACAGCCATACCCGTGCATTTTCATATCCTCAATGGACGCTTTCTCACTACAAAGTGTGTAGTTGGAAGGAGTTGAACTGTTGCAATAGTGTATATAGCCCGCAAAGCATAGAATATTTATTATCTGACCCTTTACAGAAAAAGTGTACCGACCCCTGCATCGAGCCTGCTATAAAAGAGTAGTAAGAAAATCTCCTGGTTAGTCCAAGTTTGCAAAAGTCTTTTGAGTGTTGTGGCAGGTCATAGGCTTCTAGTAACTTTATATCCTGGAGTCGAAATCTGGGAAGTGAGAGAGCAATGGAGAAACTCGGGTTTTATGTTTGACCATCATTCTCACTGAAATATCTCTCATTTTTCAGTCCCCTGGGACACACCTGGAAGTATTTACCCAGGACCCCGACACCTGACCCCCAATACAGACAGACTCGGAAACAAGGCCTCGCTGTCCCCTGGTCAAAAGTAGGGCACTGGGAGCCTCAAGTTTCATCCCAAACAGTGCCCCAGCCCTGGCAGAACCGCTACCGCGTCTCACGTCTCGAGTTTCTGCCGGGACCGTCCCTACGCAAAGGGAGCCTTGTCCTGGGCGGCCCTGTCCTAGAGCTCCTGGGGCCTCAGAACGTGGGACTGGGCAGTGTGTCTGCCTCTGTGTCCGCTGGGATGGAAAAGCCGCCGCAGCCTGGCGGCCAAACCTGTTTTAGTTTATCTTTTGCCAGGTTCTGCCTGTGCCTGGCCTCTATAATGGCTCAGCCCCTCCTTCTCAAAGCCCTCCAGTCTGAAGACCGAAGGAGGAAGGGGAAAGGGGAAAGAAAGCATGCTAGGTTTGTCTCACTGAGAGCCAGAGAAGGGGTGAGGGTGGGGTAGAATAGGCGTTAAAGATTTAAAGTTTGGCCCTGGCTGGTTTGGCTCAGTGGATAGAGCGTCGGCCTGCGGACTCAAGGGTCCCAGATTCGATTCCGGTCAAGGGCATGTGCCTTGGTTGCAGGCACATCCCCAATAGGGAGTGTGCAGGAGGCAGCTGATCGGCACATCCCCAGTGGGGGGTGTGCAGGAGGCAGCTTATCGATGTTTCTCTCTCATCGATGTTTCTAGCTCTCTATCCCTCTCCCTTCCTCTCTGTAAAAAAATCAATAAAATATATTTTTTAAAAAAGATTTAAAGTTCCCCCGACAGGCGGAGTTTTCTGAGGCAAAACAGCACCCAGAGGCCCTTCAGAGGGACTCGCTGTGGCATCAGCTCAGATTCCCACCCCTTGTCGTCAGCCAAGTGAGCCTCAGAGAGACAGCGAGGGCCTCTCTCTCCCGCTCAGAGACTGACTTTTAACAACAGGGTATAAAAGTACTTCCTTTTCTCTCTCTTTTTTTTTTTCCCTTTACTCCCTGGCCTGTCCCTTGGCAGACAGGCAACAAAAGGTAGCATTTGTTAACCATAAATAGTGGATTCAAAGTCCTTTTCTTTCTGTAAAGTAGTTTGAACTAAAAGAGTTGGGCCGTATTTGTGATATGGGTGCATGGATGCATTTGTAGGAAGAAGGACGGAAGTCTAGTGACCCGATGCTAGTTAGGGGTCCTGTCCATGTATGAAATAATGATTCTTTGTCGGTGTTGTTGTTGAGCACGTATGACTTTTATAGTTAGGTAGATAAAAGTTATTTTTTAAACATTTTTCTCTTGTCACTTAGAAAGCTCTTCCTCTGTCCCTTGTGCGCCTCCTTTCTGTGCCAGCAAAGCGCCCCACGTATGACTCTAGTGCAGTGGTTCTCAACCTTCCTCATGCCGCGACCCTTTAATACAGTTCCTCATGTTGTGGTGACCCCCAACCATAAACTTATTTTTGTTGCTACTTCATAACTGTAATTTTGCTACTGTTATGAATCGTAATGTAAATATCTGATATGCAGGATGTATTTTCATTGTTACAAATTGAACATAATTAAAGCATAGTGATTAATCACAAAAACAATATGTAATTATATATGTGTTTTCCGATGGTCTTAGGCAACCCCTGTGAAAGGGTCGTTCGACCCCCAAAGGGGTCGCGACCCACAGGTTGAGAACCGCTGCTCTAGTCACACCACATCATTTGCCTTCCCCTAAATACTCACTCTGTTCCCCACCTCTGTGCCTTTGCACACATTTCTTGCACCTAAAATGCCACGGTATGATGTTTCCTAAACTGCCTGGTTATAGGACTTACCTAAAGAGCTTGCAAAAAGAAACATCAATTTCTAGGCTCACCTGTTGAATCTGGATCTCCAGGGGACGGGCCTGGGGAATCTGCAGGTGCCTGCGGTGTTTCTCCTGATCTGTCCTATGCGCCTTTTCCACTATTGGGCTTCTACTCATCCATCCTTCTAGACTTCCCTCAGTGGTCACCACCTCCGGGAAGACCGCCTGATGCTCCTCCTTCCCATAATACTGACGACAGTAGCGACATGTACTGAGCCCTTCCTGTGGCCCAGCAGTGTTCTAAGGACTGGGGGTGTGGTGACTCCTCTAAGTCCTGGGAGGGGTGCAGCTCCGATCTCACCATCGCTAAAGAAACTGTGGTGGATGCTCCGCAGCCAAGAGAAAGCTCTCGGGAAGCACAGAGAGGCTGAGCAGGTTGCCCGGAATCACACAGACAGCACGTCTCAGAGCTGAATTCTGAACCTAGGAGTGTCCCTGCAGAGCCCTCCCTCTGTCACCTAATGTGACCAGGTCACACCTGCCAATGTCATGGTCACCTTGTGGGCTGGGGGCTGGCTTACTTGCTTCCTTCCTCCTCTGCTGGGTACTGAATTCCAGAAGGCAAGCATCTAACAGCCCCAGGATGCAGCAAACTTTATTTATGCGCTGTGAGCCTAGTGAATGTGTGTGGCAGGAGGAGGGGTGACAGGAGCCGCCGGCGAGTGCAGGAGGATAGTTTTAGAATGAGAAGTAAAGGATGGATCGGGTTAGATATAAGCAGAGGTGTCTTGGAATTCCCAAAAGGACCACCTTGTCCTTCTCTCTGGCAGGTGCAACCTGGCTCCGGTGCAGGAGTACGCCCGGGACGTGGGGCTCAAGACAGACCTGGTGACCATGAACCCCTCGGTCATCCAGCGAGCCTTTGAGGACCTGGTCAACGCCACGTGGCGGGAGAAGCTGCTCCAGCGGCTGCACAGCCTCAACGGCAGCATCCTGTGGATCCCCGCCTTCATGGCCAGGGGCGGCAAGGAGCGTGTGGAGTGGGTCAACGAGCTCATCCTGAAGCACCGCGTCAACGTGCGGACTGCCTACCCCTCTCTGCGCCTGCTGCACGCCGTCCGCGGGTGAGCGGCCCCTCCCCGGGGAAGGGGGCTGTTGCTGAGTGGGGGAGGTACTTGGTAGGCAATATTGCTTTCCTGCATTCGTTTCCATCTCAGACATAGACAGTTTTGCTCAGCGGATAGAGCATCGGCCTTAGTTCTGAAGAGTCCTGGGTTTGATTCCGGTCAAGGGCATGTACCTTGGTTGCAGGCTCGATCCCTAGCCCTGGTCCAGAAGCCTGCGGGAGGCAACCAATCCATGTGTCGCTCTTACATCAAAGTTTCTCTCTATCTCTCCCTCTCCCTTCTACTCTCTCTAAAATCAATGGAAAAATATCCTCGAGTGAGGATTAACCAAAAAAAAAAAAAAATTTTTTTAATTTCCATCTCAGCTGATCACTCACTAGCTGTATGACCCCCACAAGTCACCTGACCGTCCTCAGCCTCCCTTTCCAGGCAATGAGGGGATTGGCAAGTGGGTTTCACCTGCCATGGCAATTTTGACCAACTGGCAGTGCCCGCCTAGACAGCGATGCTGAGAATAAACTGTAAGGGGGCAAGAATGGCAGCAGGAATATAAGTTGGGAAGCTGACTCAATAGTTCAGGCAGGAAATACATCTGACTTAGACAAGGACAATGGTGGTAGATATGCAACAGATTTGCTATAAATTTTGGAGTAGAGGCAGCAGGATTGGCTGATGCATTCTCTTTCAGGACCTCATGGGGTGAGAGAAAGAAACCATCAGGATGACTGTTAGGATTAGAGCATGAGCAGATTGGGGTCCGGGGTGCCATTCTCTGTGACAGGAGAGCCTGAGGGAAGCCCATGCTTGTTTGGGGGTGTTGAGGAAGGGAGTTCTTTCTTGGGCATATTAAGTGTGAGATGCCTGTTCCAGATGTACCCGCCCCCACTCCTGACCTCCCACTTGGGGCCAGGCCCTGCATCTAATTGCCCATTCAACCACATGGCAGCTTACAGCCCTGCTCCAGGGACACGAGAAAGGCCATTGTACAGCCTCCCTCCAAACCGCACCCCCCCAACCAATAAACCTTAGCATAACACTGTGTGACTCTGGGAAGCCCCCTGAGCCACCCACAAAGGACTCTGGGCCTCTTAGAGGTGACACCCAAGCCTGTGACCAGCACTGGTCACTCTAGGGTGGGTGTACACACAGAAGTCCATTGCCACCAAGAAAGACCTAGAGAGGCAGGCAACCAAAGGCAGCCGCACTTGTGGCTGATGGAGCAGGTGACACTTGTATGGACACAGGCCAAACAGGGGCCACCTCCCTCATCCTGGAGGTTGACCTGTCAGGGGTCCCTTCAGCATCCTTCACATCATCCCTGGCACGGAGTGGGGCTGCCGCGGTAACCCCCACCTCATGGGTTTAGGATCCATTCTTTAAATCTTGTTTCTTCCCGGAAGGAGGAAAGTGACATGGCTTGGGGGTCAGCGGGGTGAGAGAAAGACAAGGACTGCCTTTCGGTAAAGAGAGAAAAGGTCCCGTGGTGGGGAATGGGCAATCATCTGGAAGAAACATATGCAATGAGAGCTATTTCCAGCTATAACTGGCTCATTTTCATCTGTCAAAACAGCATTAAGCACCAGTAATAAGTGTTAAGCCTTAGATCCAACGTCTTCCTTCGCAGGGACTCCCAGAGGAAACACTGCAGGAGAGGCAGGTGGGGTGGGTCTCTGATTTGGGGGAGGGAGGGAGGGAGTGGGGAGGGGGCTTGAGGGCCTTGGAATGGGCTTCTGCCAATGGCCTTCTCCCCCTGTGGGGCCACGGGGCATTGTGGGGTGCAGCGTCCAATAGAGCTTCAGGGTGGCATTGCAATTATTTTTGACAGGCTGACACAATGAGCTAATCTAAGAGGCAGAAATGTAACAGGGACAAATGCAGCATTCTAAACAACTGTACGGAGAGAGGAACAGTGCCAATCACCAGCGGGTGTGTGGTCGCTCAAAAGAACCTATGATCTTGGGTTGCAGCCACGGACACAGGATGTCTTTGAGAGTCGGGGAGGGTGGCCATGGCCTTTTTTTTTTTTACTCTCCCGGGTCAAATCCCACTCGGAGAATCACATTCCGTGTTGGGTACCCGGCTGGAGAGGGACCACAGAAGCAGAGAAATTCGGAAGTTGAAAGGTTTGGGGAGAGAAGGAGGCTCTGAGGAACATGAAAGCAACCTTGCTTCATTCAGTGAATACTTACAGGCACCTAGCGGGCTCCAGGCTCGTGTGAAAGTCAATAAAACAAGGCGTCTGCCCTTGAAGGGCTCGCCGATTTGGCCTGTGAGGCTCCAGGGGTAAAACTAGGGCGGGGAGAGGATCTACAGGGAGTCAGTGTCATCTGGGCATAGGGAAGAGCCTTCCAACAAGTCAAGATGATCTGCAATGAGCGTGGCTGCCTCCCAGGGGGCAGTGGATTCAGCCTCCTTGGGGATGTTCAGTGAAGTCAGCAGCGAATGCCCCTATGGGCCCTGGAGCCGGAAATCCACGCTACACGGAATTGCTGTATGAGTTTGCTCAGGCTGCTGTGACAAAATACCATAGGCCGGGTGGCCTACACAACAGATCTGGAGGCTAGAAGGCCGAAATCAAGGTGTCGGCAGGGCTGGTTCCTCCTGAGGGCTCTGAGAAGGATCTTCGCACCAGGGGTAAAACTAGGGCACGGAGAGGATCAGGGAGTCAGTGTCATCTGGGCATAGGGAAGAGCCTTCCAACAAGTCAAGATCATCGGCAATGAGCATGGCTGCCTCCCAGGGGGCAGTGGATTCAGCCTCCTTGGGGATGTTCAGTGAAGTCAGCAGCGAATTCCCCTTATGGGCCCTGGAGCCGGAAATCCCCGCCACACAGAATTGCTGTATGAGTTTGCTCGGGCTGCTGTGACAAAGTACCACAGGCCGGGTGGCCTACACAACAGTTCTGGAGGCTAGAAGGCCGAAATCGAGGTGTCGGCAGGGCTGGTTCCTCCTGGGGGCTCGGAGGGAAGGATCTTCCCAGGCCTCCCTCTACGGCTTGTTGGTGGCCACTCTTCATGTTCACATGGCATCTTCCCTGTGTGCACGTGTTCTCCAAACGTCCCCTGGTTTTAAGGGTGTCAGTCATATTGGATGAGGGGCCACCTTAATGACCTCATTTTAACTTGATCACCTCTGTAAGGACCCCTTATCTCCAAATAAGGTGACACTATGACAGTGATGGCGAACCTTTTGGGCTCGGCGTGTCAGCATTTTGAAAAACCCTAACTTAACTCTGGTGCCGTGTCACATAGAGAAATGTTTTGATCTTTGCAACCATAGTAAAACAAAGATTTATATTTTTGATATTTATTTTATATATTTAAATGCCATTTAACAAAGAAAAATCAACCAAAAAAAAAATGAGTTCGCGTGTCACCTGTGACACCCGTGTCATAGGTTCGCCATCACTGCACTATGAGGTACTGGAGGTTATGGCTTCAACATAATGGACCTTTGGGCTAGCTCGCCCCCTTTCCCACTCAGACTCTTTGATGCAGTGCACCTGTGCTAGGAGAGTCTCTAACCACCGTGTGCTCTCAAGATGCTGGCCCATCTGAGTGAGTTCTTGGGCCCGGGCATTGCAGGGGGTGGACAGCATGGCACAGAGACCCTGAGCAGAAGGCCTGCCCTTCGACTCTTACTAGCCCCTGCCCCAGCCCGAGCAGTTCTTCCAAAGGACTTCTGGCTCTGCCGGCCTGGACAGTGGCACAGCGCCTCGCTGGCTGGCTGTTGGCAAGGGAGGTGAGCAACCGAGGGGGAGGACACCAGGCCGCGGGAAGTGGGAAACTGGTCAGCAGCTGGTAGCGCGTGGCTCTAATTCAATTACAACAACGGGGAAGGCTGTGAGCCGCAGAGAGGGGGGCCCATGGGCAAGAAAGCAGGCCCATTCAGCCGCCCAGCCACAGTCCTGGTGCAGAGGAGGCCTGTGAAATGGTGCCTAATTAGGCACCAGGAGTGCTGAGCCGAGGCCCCGGGGTGGCACTGATCCAGCGGGCAACCCTGCCAGGCCTGGAGCAGCGTGTCGGCAAAGCAGACCCGGCTGCCCCTCTGTGGGGAGCAGAGACTGAGGACCAGCCTACAGGCCCAGCGGTGAGGGGCTAAGCATGGTGCAGAGACTAAGGGGAGACCAGCGAGGGTGGAAGTTGGTCTCCCAGGACATGCCCATTGCGGTACTAAGTCGTGGGCGCTGGGTCCAAGTCTCCTCCAGGGACACGAGTGTGGAAGTGTGTTCCATGGAGAAGAGAAGGAGGGAGTCTGTGGTATTGAGGCACAGTTGGCTGCCAGCGTTGGGTCATTTTCAATGACTGTCTCTATTATTTTATTTATTTATTTATTTTTAATATATTTTATTGGTTTTTTACAGAGAGGAAGGGAAAGGGATAGAGAGTTAGAAACATCAATGAGAGAGAAACATTGATCAGCTGCCTCCTGCACACCCCCTACTGGGGATATGCCCACAACCAAGGTACATGCCCTTGACCGGAATCAAACCTGGGACCCTTCAGTCCGCAGGCCGACGCTCTATCCACTGAGCGAAAATGGTTAGGGATCTATTATTTTTTTTTAAATAGGAATGCACATAGTAAAAAGAAAATCCCAAATAGTATAAGAGGATTTAAAGTGAAAAGCGAGCCCGCCTTCACAGAGGCAGCCTTGTTAATTAAACTGGTTTTCTGTGTCTCCTTCCAGAAAAATCGTCTTTTACACACAAGGGAGCATGTTTTAAGCACCACACCTTGCTAAATTCTGGAAATTATTCTATACTAGAGGCCCAATGCATGAAATTCGTGCGAGAGTAGGCCTTCCTTCCCCCACCTGTCAGCTTCCCTCCAGCACCCGGGACCCAGGCTTTCCTAGCAGCCCCAGCTTCGTCTGGAAGGTCAGAAGGTTGTCCAGAAGGACGTCCGGTCTAATTAGCATACTACGCTTTTATTATTATAGATTGACAGGTACTGCCTTCTTTTCCTTCACAGCTTCCTGGCCTTCTACTGAGTCAGGCTCATAGTTTACATAAGCAGAGACCATGTGTGAGGGGATTGGGAGGTGGGCGGACATAAGTGGGTTTTTCCATCTTTTGCGGATATAACCAGTACTACAGTGACCATCTTTTACTGACATCTGCACATATATCTATGTGTATAGGCTTGCTTTTTAGAATTGTCATTGCTAAAGAGAGAGACAGATATAGGCATTGTTAATTTTTATAGATATTGCCAAGTTACTCTCCCACCTATGATTAAAAATACCTGCTCTCCCATAACCTTGCAAATGTTCCTTTAATTATGAATGAGGTTGAATATCATTTTTCAGTTGGGAGTGGCATTAGTTTAAATTCCAGAATCCAGCCAGAAGGTTTAACTGTGCCCCCCACCCCCCTGAAGCAATGGTCTGGTTAGGTCCCCGCTGGGCCTGTGTGTGAGCAGCAGCATCTTGACACCCTGGGGGGCTCATCCTGAAGCAGGAGGAACCCCTCAAAGTAACCAGCATGCTGGTTTTCTTTTTCCTTTTGGCAACATGCTCTCTGGACTGCTGTTAGCCTGCCTTTCACATGCGCAGACCTGGTGGCTGCCCAGGAGAGGTGAGGGTGAGGCCAGTGCTGTGTGGGTTGGTCTCCCACACAAAGCTACTGTGATCTCCCTCCCCTCCCCTGCCAGCTTCCTCAAAGGGAGCCACTGGCCTCTGCTTGCTCATTTTCATGCATTGCTTCATGAAGACTTGTGCATGTGCCATGGGAGGATCTGGGGTTATGGAGAAGCTAACCCACTTGCTCCCAGAATTTTTTTTTAATATATTTTATTGTTTTTTTTACAGAGAGGAAGGGAGAGGGATAGAGAGCTAGAAACATCGATGAGAGAGAAACATCAACCAGCTGCCTCCTGCACATCCCCTACTGGGGATGTGCCTGCAACCAAGGTACATGCCCTTGACTGGAATTGAACCCGGGACCCTTCAGTCCGCAGGCTGACGCTCTATCCACTGAGCCAAACCAGTCAGGGCCCAGAATTTTTAAGTGTAAGGGAGGAGAAAGACAAGCAACCAGTAGTTACAGCGTAGCATGATGCGTACTGTAACAGGGAAAGAACAGCTTATGGAACACAAAACCCTCCAGGGAGGTCCGGGAAGGCTTCCTGCAGGAAGTGACATTGAAGCTGAGACCAGGAGAAGGGGGGCAGGTCAGGAGACACGGGAGGTGATGGTGAGAAACCAAGAAGGTCCCCTCTTGAGCTCTGGTCTCGCATCATCCACATCATCAGCCTTGGCCCTGATTTGGGGCCCCACAGCCCATTGCTGTCCTTCCCTGGGAAACACTGGTGAAGCCTCTACTGCCTGGGGGACACGTCTGCACAAGGCTGCCCGTTGGTAATGGTGAGCTGGGGATGTTGTCTCAGAATTTGGGGCTGGAGTGCAGAGCTGGTCAAGCCTGGGGATGCTCGAAGCTGATTCCTGGTCCCTGTACTTCCATGTTTACCCAAATAAGTCAGCTAACCTCAAGTCTGACCAGGCCACCAAAAACCTTCCGAAGAATCCACAAGATGACATCCAAAGGCCTCAGCCAGGATCGCGAAGCCCTTGAGATCTGGGCCAGAAATCCCTGCCACCCCCTGGGAGGCACAGTCACATGCCACGGGCACCTTCTTGGTTTCTCACCATCACCTCCCGTGTCTCCTGACCTGCCCCCCTTCTCCTGGTCTCAGCTTCAATGTTCCTGGCTTTGCTGCTGATCTTGCACCAAATATCACCAAGTGGCCCTTGCCAACCACCGGGGAGGCAGTCCTGCCCCGTATGGATGAGATGAGCTCTAGCCCACAAATTGCTTTGAGCTTCCTGGAGAAAGCCCTTTTGGTCTCTTTTTCCAACACTGGCAGCCACCATTCTTGCCATGTACCAAGCCCAGGCATCCAGGGAAAAGGCCGAATGTGCTTTCGATATGATTGTGGCAATCCTTATTTATTGCTGTCCACGCTCATAAAATACAGTGCTTAATCGTCTTAGCAGTTGGGGTAACCAATTTGAAAAATAATTATTGCCTTCTTAGAGATGACTTTGCCTTCTAATTAAAATCTCAAGCCGGGGATATTAAAGGTGCACTGTCAATATGATGTCCCAGATGCACCCAGCTAACCTCATTTGGGAAGGCAAAATTAATTAGTTCGTGTTTTCACGCCCAGCTGTTATCCCAAGGAAAGGAACCGTCTACGAGTTGGCCAGGCACAGAGTCGCTAAATTGGCCGGAACGACTGAGGAGACATAAAGGAAGTAGAGAGTGTTCTGTCCCTGCAGAACTCAGCCGGCCTCTATTACAAGCTGCTCGTTAGAAGGTGCCCCGTGTCCCTGTCACACATCTCAGGAGTTCTTGTTTAGCTGTGGAGGCAGAACAGGAAATAAGTGGGTCCCTCCAGGCCACTGAGTTCTCACTTCACCCCGGAGCCTCATTTGCTGTTAACACCTTTCCCAGTGAGTGATTCTGGGTGGAAAGCCTGGCACCAGGGACGAGCGGCTGGGCGTTTCTATCCGTTCTCAGCTGGCCACAGCTACAAAGCTGCATGCGCTGCTCGCTTCCTCCTTTCTCCTCTCCAACTTCTTCCCGTTTCTCAGTTCCATTGAAAAATAGAACGTCTGCTGAGCACAATAGAAGCCAGGATCATCAGTTTGGCTATGCTGTGATAGCTAACTGTAGAACTCGCATGGTTTAACACGGCAGAAGTTCGTTTCTCATTCTTGCAAAGTACCATATGTTGGCAGGGGCTCTCTTCCAACCAGTGATTCAGGGATCCAGGATTCGTCCATCTTAAGCTTACACCATCTTTACAGGAGGCTCTGAAGTCCTCTGATGCAGGAGGAGAGAAAGCAGAGGACCTGCTTTTGATCAGCATCAGCCCAGAAGGGACACATTTGTGGTCGCAGCCTATTGGCCATAACTGGTCACATGACCCCAGCCCAATGACAAGGGATTCTGGGAGATGTAGGGGCGCATATGGAGTATTTGCTGAGCGCTGCTCTCTCTGCCAAAGAGCCTTGGCTGCACCAGGCACTGAGCCAGATGCCCTTGAACCCCCAACACAGAGGCGTCAGGCATGGCCCCTGCTCTCAGAGAGATCACAGTAGAGTTTGGTGAGGGAGACCAACCCCCCCAGTAACGATTGTCAGCTCGGGTTGATAAGCACATTGGGGGAAGTAGAAACAAAGCTCGAGATAATGATGTGGAAGTGATTAAGTCAGTTGGAGCTGGAGAGAAGCCGGTAGAACAAAGGGAACATTCCCAGGAAGACGTGATGCATGTATTTAGTTTGGGGAGAAAAAAAGAGAGTTCACTGAGGGGACACGTGAGGGAAAGGCATAGCTACGAGGAGGGCGCATTGCATGTCTGTGCAACCTCGGACCCACCTGTGAGCTCCTTGGGTGTTTCACCACTGATTAAATTCTCCCTCCTCCTCTCCCTCCCGACTACCACATTCCCAGGAAGACGTGATGCATGTATTTAGTTTGGGGAGAAAAAAAGAGAGAGTTCACTGAGGGGACACATGAGGAAAAGGCATAGCTATGAGGAGGGCGCATTGCATGTCTGTGTAACCTCGGACCCACCTGTGAGCTCCTTGAATGTTTCGACACTGATTAAATTCTCCCTCCCCCTCTCCCTCCCAACTACCATGATAGCCTGCGAGGAAATCCATTCTGAAAGCCGGCCCCTGCTAAGGCCTCACTATCAGAAGATAAACAAACCGCAACTCCCTAATATGGCACGTGGCCGCTGTTAGGGCTTGAATTGGCTCAGGAAATGAACAGCCACCGAGACACACTCACGCGGGGACACTGCCGGTGGCTGGCAGGTCCCTGGGTGGTGACTACAGCGGCTGCAGCCAGCTCACTCCCAGCCCCCACTCTCCCAGAGCCACCACCGGGTGAGAGAGACCCAGCAAGCAGGCAGGGAGAAGCTGCCTGTCATCTGAGCTCTATGTAACTGCTGCATGAGCTGGACTCTTCCCAGGCAAATCGCTCTGGCCTCCCCGGTGGTCCTCTTCCTGGAAAGGATCATTCCTAAACTCGGGTCTCCTTTTTTGTTTCTTTCGTCCCTTGTTTCAGATACTGGCTGACCAACAAGGTCCACATCAAAAGACCCACCACCGGCCTCCTGATGTACACCCTGGCCACGCGCTTCTGCAACCAGATCTACCTCTACGGCTTCTGGCCCTTCCCGCTGGATCAGAACCAGAACCCCGTCAAGTACCACTACTACGACAGCCTCAAGTACGGCTACACCTCCCAGGCCAGCCCCCACACCATGCCCTTGGAGTTCAAGGCCCTCAAGAGCCTGCACGAGCAGGGCGCTTTGAAACTGACTGTCGGCCAGTGCGACGGAGCTACGTAAGGGGGCGCCCGGCGGACTCAGTGGCTCACATTTCCTGCCAGCTACACCGCGGGCAGATGGGAGTCGGGGTGGCACAAACTCTAGAACAAGCAGGCTAGTGGTTTTCTTTGTTAAAGTGTAAAACAGTGACCAGAATATATATATCTATACCTGCATATATATATTGACCTGAGTATTTATAACTGTGTGGTGTTCATCTAGCATTAGGCAGATAAGCCACAGGAAGAAGGTATGGAGAACCCACCAGAATGGAGACCCGGTCCATCTTTGGGGGCGAAAGGATTCGACGTGGAAAGAAGCCAGTCCCATGACTTTGGATGACAAACTGCCTCCCGGGTTGGAGGGATCTTTGGGCTCATGGATGAGTGGAACGGCCTTGAGCCTCTGAGACATGTGGGTTCTGGGTGAGCCAAGACCCAGAGGGGACAATGTGACCCAAGTCTAAACGGTGCTGTTCACGGGGGAGAGGGAGGTCGGAGCGATCAGCTGGGCGAAGGAGCACACGAGAAGCAGGGGCCACATCTCAGCTGAAGGCCTTCCCGCGAACGCAGAGTTTCAGTGCTCGAGGGATGAACCGCAGCTATGGAGAGAAGGCCAGAGAAGACACGACGGACAGTTTACGCTCTGGCTTAGCACGAACCACCACGAACCTGGGACGGAGCAGGCAGAGGACAGTGAAGGGCTGGGGTGTGACAAATTGTGCTTTTGAAAAATTGCAACCTACCGCTAAGGGTCGGCATTCCCGCCCCGGAACAGACAGGAGAGGGTCCAAAATATTGCTGTAGTGGGTGTTCTCTAAAGCACCTTGAGTCCACCAGGAGGAGGGGACCAGGGATGTCATCCCCAGAGTTAGCCTCCTGCCCGGCCTGTTTGAATGTCACATGAGGGACTGTACTGTCCCCTCCCGCCTCCGGGGAAGCCCCCGCGAGAGCTCGAAAAGGCCCCGTAAAGATAAATGCCAGCCTTTTTAAAATATGTGGTTGCCTTTCTGGGTGCCTCCAGCGCCCCCGACTGGGAGACCTGGAAGAATGTGAAGGATTCGGCTCCGTTTCTCCGCAGACACTCTCTCTGTTTGCCTCCTGTGTTGCGCACACCATGGGCCTCTCTGGCAGACGGCGGTGTCAGCGTCACTTCTGGTCCCGCCAACACTGAGGTTTTCTCCTCTGCGGGGAATGGGGCCACCTCCACTCCCTTTCGCCCCAGAGGCAATGATTTTAGAATTTTGCAAAATCCATTTTCCCTTTGTTAAGATAAAGAGATAAGACTTAAAAACACACACACCAAAAAAAACCCAAAGCCACATGCAGTCTCCAAATACTGGACATAAACTCCCTGGGGGGAACCTGGGCTCGATGCCCGTAACTTGGGGCTGGAACCACAGGTCACGTAGAGACCAGCGTTAGCCGGCTTGGTTTCTTAGATGTGCTTTCTTGTCTGATAAATGCGTCTTTTACAACGTATTTGAAAGATGAGTCAAAAACCATAATCTGGAAGGTGAAGGGAGTTGAGGAAAGTAATCAAGACTTGCTCCCCAGCACAGGAGAGCGGACGTGATGCATCAATGGCAGTTCCGAACAGGCCACTTGCTTCTAATTAATGGCTGATAGGAAGCCAGGGGAGGATAGTCTGATCCATTAACCCCCCACGCGCACGCTCCAGCTCCAAACCGCGACTGATTCTACGATTCTGCGTTCCTTTCCTCGTTGTTCCTGTGGGTGCGCAAAGCCGAGACTTGGGCTTTGCGTTATGAAGAGTTCCGAACAGGCCACTTGCTTCTAATTAATGGCTGACAGGAAGCCAGGGGAGGACAGTCCGATCCATTAACCCCCCACTCGCACGCTCCAGCTCCAAACCTCGACTGTGATTCTACGATTCTGCGTTCCTTTCCTTGTTGTTCTTGTGGGTGCGCGAAGCTGCGACTTGGGCTTTGCGTTATGAAATGGATATGTCAGGACGCACCAGCCCTAGCAGCCTCGGTGGGCAGTGAGCGGTGTGGACTCGTCAGGAGAAGTGGAGAGAATTAGCATCGGACTTCACACTTCTGCAGGGCCTTTCATCGGGAGGGTCTTCGAGGCCCTGGGAGACGCTTAACTTCTGAAGCTTGCGGAGCCGTGGGGAATGGGCAGGACTGCCAGCAGGGCCTGCGTGGGTGAGCCGAGGTCTTGGGTTCTAGAACATTCCAGTGGAGAGCGTGATGTCAGGTCCTGGAGCTGGCTCTGAGCTCTCCACCCGCCAGCACCCCTCCCTGGGGAGTGTAGGGGCCTCAGCACTTAGAAAAGCCTGGTTTTCTTCCTGTCCCTTCCTGGTTCCTGAAGCTGACATGATGCGAGTTGAAGCGGAAAAGCCCTGACAGCCTGCCTCGGGCTCCCTCCAGAGAAAGGCTGCGGGCCCAGGACCTCTCACATGTGCCCATCCTCCTCATCCTGCACCTGGGCACTCACTGTCAAGGGCAGCCCTCCCTCCTCTGTCCCTTTAGAGCTCAGCTTGCGTGAGATTCCACTGCAGCCTCCGGCATAAGCAGCTAGCAGGAGTCCGGCCTGTCCCCCGATCTACTGTCTTGTGATGGCAGTGGACACAGCCCCCCGGGCCCTTTCGGTCACCTCCTGTGGACCCCCAGGCAATCCACCCTGAAGCCCCTCAGACCTCCATTTCCCTCAAGTTCCCCGAATGACCCCCCTTGTCTGCCTCCTCCTTCGCTAAAGAAATGGAGCCGCTGGAGAGAGGTCCCCCATGACATGTTCCCTGACACCCCTAGCCACTCCTCTGTGGCCTCCATCCTCTCTGTCCACCAACACATGCGCATTCTACCCATCCTGGCTCCCATGGCCTCTTCCCTCACCTTCCCTTCACCCCCCGCCTGGGAAGGGCCTCCAGGCTTACACTGCCTTTCCTCCCGACCCCCCCTCGGCCTCCATGCCCCTGGCACCGCCCACGATGCCCACAGAAAGGCCCTTTCTTGCCACCAGCTCTCCAGGGACCCCTCCTGGACACTCCCTTTCCTCTGATTTCTGGGACCACGTGTTCTTGTGGTTTTTCTCCTCCCTGCCCCATGCCGCTCTGGACCTTATTTATGTATTTATTTATTTATGTATTTATGATTTATTTATTGACGCCCTTAACCGAAAAAGGAGCCGAGGTGGACCTGACCAGGATTCCCCTCTCTCCTCCTTGCCCACAACATAGACAGCCCCCCTCTCCTTACCTCCCCGCACCTCCATCAGCAACCTGCGCCCCCCTGTGGGCCCGCCCTCCGCACGTCCCTGCAGCCCAGCCCCTCCCGGGTCCCAGGCCTGGGCTGCACATTCCTGTTGGACATTCACCCCATCTGCTCTGGCAGTGCCATGAACTCAACACAGGAAGCCAGGTTGGTTATCTCTGCCTCCCCTTCCTCCACGGCCCCTCCTTTTTTCTGTTCGAAGACCCGCGATCCTCTCAGCCACCCAGTTCGGAGACCCGCCTACAGGTATCTTCGACTCTTCCCCATCCTTGCCGCTCCTTCCCACCAGCACTGCCCTGGCCTCCTGGTCGCGTGGGCAGTTTCAGCAGCAGTCTCCCCTCCAAGGGCTCCTGGGCACGCGTGCACCTTCTCCAGTACGTCCTCAACATGCACAGCGATCTTTATCTCCAGCCACGCACACGCTTTTAAAAGTGACGTCCAAGTCTTCATGCTGACATTACAGATCGCCCAACGAGGCCCGTTCTTCCTTTGCGCCCGGCACCCATTGTTGTCATTCCTGGAAGGGGTGCCCGGCTTTCCTGTCTCTGTGCCTTCGGACTTGCTGTTCTCATCTCCTGGAATGTCCGTGCCTCCTGGGACGCTCTCTTCTGTTTCCTTCAAGGCCCATGCAGAAACCACGTCTTCCATGAAGCCCTCCCTGATCTACCAACCGCTGGGGTCGCTCCCTCCGCTGAACCACCGTAGCACTTTATTTGTACCTTTCTCATGGCACTTACCATAGTCTGCCTTGTATTATAGTTCCTGTGCACTTGTCCTTTGACCGTTCCTAGACTGTAAGCTCGCCGAGGGCAGGGCCTGTGTTTTATTCATGTGTCCATCACGGCACCAGGAGTGGTGCATAGCACACAGCAGTTGCTCAATAAATGTTTGTTGGATTAAATCCTTAATGCCTGGTGAGGGCTGTATAATTAATGAAGTCGTTTTGCATCTATTGTGTCACAAGCACCTTCAAAATAATCGTGAGTTGAGGAGATGCAGAAATCATTATCCCCATTGTATAGGTCAGTGATGGCGAACCTATGACACGTGTGTCAGAGGTGACATGCGAACTCATTTTTTTGGTTGATTTTTCTTTGTTAAATGGCATTTAAATATATAAAATAAATATCAAAAATAGAAGTCTTTGTTTTACTATGGTTGCAAAGATCAAAAAATTCCTCTATGTGACACAGCACCAGAGTTAAGTTAGGGTTTTTCAAAATGCTGACACGCCGAGCTCAAAAGGTTCACCATCACTGGTATAGGTCATAAAACTGAGGCAAAAAATGACACGGAAGCCACATAGCTCACCGGCAGAATTTGCACCCAGGTCATCCTATCCCCCACTCCAGGGCTTCTCTGTTAGTCCTTGTGGTTGGGTCACTGTATACAGAAAACTAACCCTAAGCACAGTCCTGGGCATCACTTCACAGTCAGGCGTACCTCAGTGTGAACCCCAGTATTGTGCCCATCAACACAGACCAATTCTCACTCCCCCTGGGGGAGGACTGAAGCCATTCAGGTCTCACCAGGCTCAGGGGTGGAGCTGGGGGACCTTATAAATCATTCCCGTTGCTGTGTCACATGGTAGGGGACTGTCTGTGCAGATGGCGGTGCGACCAACCGCTCCTTGGGTTGCTGTTTGATAAATCTCTTCATGCCTTTGAAGGCTCCCCTTGCAGAACGGATGGAGCAGGAACAGGAATGAATGGTGCTGCTCAGATGAGAAGATGGGACTGAGACGCCTGTGCTGCTTCCTGAATGCCCCCATGGCTTCCTGAATGACACGGCAGCCTGCCCCGCTCTCCTCTCTCTCACCAATGCTGCTGATGTCATCATCTTTCCCACCCCCATCCTCAATTTCCACTTTCCCTCTCCCGGGCTTGTCCCCTTGGCATCCACAAGAGCAGGGGAATCCCAGAGAATTGCAGCTCCTCTTGGGTACCCGAGCTCTGACCTGGGGCATGTGGGGAGATGGTAAGGAGGGAGGAGGGTGGGAGCGCTCTCTGCTTCTCCTAGAACTTTCCAGACTCATTCCAGACTCCAGGAAGCAAAAAAACTAGGGGCTTTGTTCTAATGGTAGGCCATGCTGACAATGGGAGGTTTCCATGGCTACTGCCCAGAAGCGATGTTTTTTGCCTTTGGGCTTCGTGGGCAGGGTAGGAATTTCACTTCCTGTAGTCCAGGTGATGGGGCCGTTTCCACATGCAGTGAATGGAGCCATCCAGCCCCCCATCATCCAGCTTGTCTAGAATTGCTCCAGTTGTGTTTAACCAAAATGAATAGCTCCGACCCACGAGGACACCAAAGGTCCCTGGTGGCGTTTTGCTGTCTTCCTCAGTGCTCCCATCTCCCCTAGAAACAGGGTGGGAACTGGGGCTCCCAAGAGGTTCTAAGAACCGTCAAGAAAGACCCAAAGGCTCCAGCCGTGACCACATGCTCCAATATTGAAGAGGCTTCTCCGAAACTGACCCAGCAGCAGCTGTGAGCAGCCAATCCTGGCAACAATGTAGGACATGAGGGATGACAGCCAAGCGGTGGGGAGTCTGCCCCGTGGCCCACTCAGACGCAGGCAGGCCCAGACGCCAGTGCCAAACACCAAGGGGAGCCGAGGCAAGGGGTTGGCTCTGCCAAACACCCCTTCAATTGAGTGCACAGAGAGCTTCATTTCTAAAACGAGTTTGTCACAGTGGAGCTGCCGGACAGGGTCTGAAGGGATGACGGGCTCATCAGAATAATTAGCGCTTAATGGAAGTGGGATGTTGCAAAGAAGACAACTGGGCTAAGCCGTGGTGCTCAAGGGAAGCCAAGGTTGTGCTTTTCCATTTCAACGTCCAGGGCTGGCGAGAATGTTACTCGCTGTCATAACCACGGTGGCTGCTTCTCGTCCTGGTGAGCATCTCTGGGCAAGAGCGCTGGGATGGGTACCAGATGACACAGAGCCTGCCACTCAGGAGCCTGGGCAACATGGACAAGCCACTTCTCAATTGCAAAATGGAGAAAATACCTCCCTACCTCCCTCACAGAGTTATGGTGAAAATGCAAATAAAGGACAGGGTAGAAGCTGGGTAGGGGTAGGTGGAGAGTTCAGTTCTAAAGAGCAAATGAAATGCGCGCTGGGAGTTTTCCAGATTCTGCTCAATGCAATTGCCCGGCTTAACTTTCCTGTGCCCTTGGGAGACAATTCCAAGCATCTTACTTGATTTTACAAGGTCTTGAGCCCTCTAGCTCACTACATTCTAGCCACACAGACCTTTCTGCTTCTCCTAGAACTTTCCAGACTCATTCCAGGCCCAGGGCCTTTGCACTGGCTGTTCCCTCTGCATGGAAAGCTCCTTCCCCAGCTCCTTGCACGCTGCCTCCTTATCTTTCAGGTCTCAGACTGAATGTCACCCCTGGGAGTCGGTCCCAGGTCACCCCCAGCTAATCACGCTCTGTTCCACATCAC